AGTTCAAACAGTTCAAGTTTGCAGTCAGTTTGCAGTTTGTAATCTTTAAAAATTCAATTAATAATAAAAAGAAACTATATAAAAAATCACTGGGATCAGCCCAGTTGGAAAACTCATTTACAAAATACGTTTTTTTGTCTTTCTCTAAATTATTTAAAAACACAGTTTAAAATTGTTGTTTCCTGCTTCTACATTATTCTCTACCTTTATCTAAGTAGAGATCTTAAAGGTACTCATTGCAAATCCATGAAGAAAGAAACAAAATCCACACAATTCTTTTTCTCACACCGATGGTTATTGTGTCCTTAAATAAAAAATTTTCAAGCAAATTTTGTGAACGGCTACCAGCTTCCACCTGTCTTTAATACCTAAGAAATTAGCCAAAATAACCTAAAATAAGTTTTTAAAAAAATAAGGTGACACTTGTCAGAAAAATGCAGATAAAAGTGCTTTGTTTACATTGAGTGCGTACCTGCATTTTCAAAATCACAATCTGGAACATCAGCTGTACCATAGTTCGGTTGCCCTTTTTTATGTTTCACTTCACAGTTTGCAATGAGTACCTTTACACCTTTAAAAAAAAAAATCAACAAGCAGCGTCTGAACCAGCAGATTATTTATGTGGTCTGGATGCAGGTTTGGAACCCCTCAGGATTAAAACAAAGCTTTGATCTTAAAGCAAACTTTAAAAAACAAAAAGTTTCTGGTTAGAAAAACACAAATCTTCTCGGGATCATTGTGTCTGACGACAGAAGGCTCTCTTAGAGTTAAAGTTCTGCTGATCTGTCGACGTCTGTGGTAGTTTTTGTAGAAATATTTGGAGTAGCCTGCCTGTATTTCTGTTCATTCAACACAACGAGCAGAAACGTCAAGGACACGGAGTGACACTAAACCCCAAACCTCATGACTGAGATTCATCTTTTTACGCTGACCTTAAACTTCCTTCTGTTTGGATTATTCGATCCAAGGGAAAATCAGCTTTCAGGTCAGTCCGAGTGGTGTGGATTTCTTTGTCTGTTCCAAAGATAAACTGCTCTGTTCACTTGCAGAGTTTTAGGATTGTTCAACAGAAGCATCTTTGTTGTTGTTTTTTCAGACTTTAAAATGGGTTGGCTTGGATTTTACTGTTGATCCAGTCGATGTAATGTGTGACCCGTACGTAGACGCCTGGTTTGTCCTTGTGCCCGCACCCATCACCCCAGCTGATCACGCCCATCAGAGTCATCCTGTCGTTGTGTCTGCAGACTAACGGGCCACCAGAGTCTCCCTGCAAATTAAATCRATAAAATTATATTAAGCATTGTTTTCTTTTGAGTAACTGAGGAGCTTAAAGTGTCCATGACATCAAATTTTTTGCAATAAATATAAATGCACTTTTTGAAAGATATTATCAATTACAAATTTAAAATAAACAATATTAATAATTTCATGCCAATGAGGTGAGCAGTTGTTGACATTTTTGCATCTGCAGTAACAGGAAGTGATGTCAAAGGGGAATGTAAACAGAGCGCTGCTACAACAGCGAACACARACAGTAGTGAAGATTTTGATGCTTCTTTACATTATTTTTGAGTCTCTATCAAAGAGAAATAGAGATGAGTCAGAGTTCAAATAATTTTGATACATTAGTTCTCTTTCTCAAAGAGTTCTCCTTTGATGTCACTTCCTGTTTCACTTTGGCTGAGCTATATGCAAAAGAACATGTAGTTACGTGACAAAATAGGTAAAAGCATGTATATCGTGCAAGTTTCCTAAACAAAAAGCTGTTTTCTTTGTCTTTTTTTAATACATGTCACAGGCACTTTAAATAAAAACCAGTCATTCTCACCTTGCAGGCATCATCGAGCCCTCGGGTGTCTCCTGCACACAGCATGTTGGGGGTAACCGTGCGTCCTGACAGGACCTCTGGCACRCAGCGCTCTTTGGGCCAGAGGCGGACGTATCCTCTTTTCACACGCTCAGAGAACTCTGCAGAGACTGTGGAGAAAGTTTTCACCATCAGCATCTCTAAAACCCTGTGAGCTAGTAACACTGTCCTCTGCTGGCAGCTCAGGCTAAACTTCACTTGACTTACATTCTGCATCTTTCCCGTATCCTGAGATCTCGCACTCGGTCCAGTCGGGCAGCACCAGCCCCCGGTCAGGCAGACACACTGGACGAACCTCTGGAGAGTTCACGGCACAGATGCCAATGTCTGTCGTCAGCTTCAGAATAGCTGCAAGTGGAAAAGTGACCAAAGGAAAGTCAGAGTAACGCACTAAAAATCTGAGGGAAGGATTTATTTTTATGATTTTTATAAGCCTGCACTTCCCACACAAGCTTTCCATTTCATCAAAGCTTTGTAAAAACACCGAAACATCTTATTATCAACTTTAAAGTGTTTCTAACAAAGGCTGTCACAGATGAACAGATGAAATTAAAAGAGCTTCCTCACCGATGTCGTTGTCAAATGTTTCATTGTCGAACTTCTCGTGGATCCAGTATTTCTCAACTTTGAAAATCTGCTCGCTGCTTGAGTTCTGCTTCCGAAACGTTCGTCCCAGAACCACCTCTAATTTTTCTGCTTTGTCGCTAAAACAAAAAGAAAAAAATCACAGGATTCTGTTGGTTTGTTGCATAAAAACAAGTGATACTGTAAACATTTTCACATCAATGTGCAGGAAAATACGCAAATAAACTTGTTGGTACTCTTACAGTTTTTAGGAAAAGTGTATGCCTTAGAATAAACGTGATGGAATAATCAGATAAAATCATTTAATAGAATAATATAGGATGGACAGATTTTTTTGTTACTGTAGAGCAAAGATACCACACGGGGGTCATTAGAGTTTTTTTAGAAACTTTTTTTAAGTTATGTCTTTAAACACGCGTTAACATGAATCCAACAAGTAGCAAATTGAAAAATGGAGGCATAAAATCCTGTATTTCAGTCAGAAATGCACACATTCTTCTGTGTTTGTCTGTGTCTCTTTCCTATCCTCCAACCAGCCGGTCGAGGCAGATGGCCGCCTGCCCTGAGCCTGGTTCTGCTGGAGGTTTCTTCCTGATTAGCAGGGAGTTTTTCCTCTCCACAGTTTGCTCAGGATGAGAGACTGTGATGAAATGATTCAACGCAGCCTGCTGGTTTCTTCTTTAGATTATACTTTTTATGTACAGTGCCCTGAGACAACGTATGTTGTGACTTGGCGCTATATGAATAAACTTGAATTTGAACTTAAACTTGAACATCCAGTGAGTGCACCAGCTAAACTCTGCTTCAGTCACAGCCTGACCCTCCATATCTTCAGCACACAAAGAGAAGAACCTGCCCATATCCATACTGGACAGGTCATGCAGCYCTGCCATGTTCACTCTATCAGGCTTAAAAGGAACAAACAGCCACTTGGACGTTTGGTATGGTTTTGTGCACACTCATCATGGAGCAGAGAAAATAAAGGTGAGGGGATTATAGCTAGCTGTGATGAAGATAAAGGCTACAAGACCATCTTCAAGCAGCTTCATGTTCCTCTGATCACAGATCAAGAACATATTATTACAAAGTATAAGGTTCACTGGACAGCAGCTAACCTGTGAGCGCAAGAAGAAATGCGACCCCGGGTTGAGCAGAAAGACAGTTTGAATGGTAAAAAAAAAGCAGCTAAGGAACCCATCCAAAACCATCCGCCACATTTTGAGTCATAATGCTGTTCATGGAAAATACCAGAGCAGCTCAGTTGGTAGAGCCATTGTCTCTTAACAAGAAGGTCTCCGGTTCAAATCCCGGGGGAGTTCTGAGTAGAGTTTGCATGTTCTATCCATGCATGCATGGGTTTTCCCTGGATAAAAACCTGATTGTTAGGTTAATTGGTAAGTCTAACAGAGGTTATGATCTTTTTTCCTCCATTATTTTTGTGGAAAACTACGGACAGTTTTAGCCGGGTCTGCACATGTGGGATAAGGTGCATTTCTACCTGATTTCGAAGCAGTGTGCGGCAGACAGGACCCAGCAGGAGTTGATGAGGACTCCTCCGCAGCGGTGGAAGTGTTTCCTGTAACGGGCCTGGTAAACGTTGATGGCGGCCTGCCACGGCTGCTCCGTGATGTCGCTCTCTTTGCCKCCGAACATGCGGAACGCCGGGCGATTCAGGGTGTTGTCGAAACGCTGGCCACACGTTGCTGTAGAAGAGGGTAAATGATGAGTGACCGCGCTGTGTGAAGATGCGAGTCTCGTAGTGTTTCAAGACTTCCCACAGTACCTCTGTTGTTGTCGTTGCTGGTGGGGGGAGCACGAGGCCCCAGAGTGGTGATGACCGATGGACGCCTCGCTAAAAAACAGAAACGTTTTGTTAGTTCTATTCTTCTTTTMTGCACATCATTATGTGTGATTCACTGATAAAATAACTCACAGCATTTTGGAACGTCGCACAGCTCCCAGGTCAGAACCATGTTTTTGTAGGTGTGACACCACGGAGCCGCATCGCCGTCTGGATTTCTGTCGAACAAAACTGAGCTTTAACATTTATTGTTGCACATTTTGCACAATCAACACTTGACTGCGTCGCTACCTGCAGAAATTATGGTTGCCGAGCCCCAGCTCCGCAGCGTTGGAGTTCCAGGCGTTGTTTACTTTACGTTTGACAGCTGGAGAATCCCACGGCAGACAGCGAGAGCCGCTTTTAGTGACGGATCTCGTTCCTCTGTACAACTGACCTGTGCCCAGCGCACACTCTTTGTTCCTGTCTGCTCAAAATACACACACAGTACACACAAATGCAAGTGTTTTAGTTTTAATGCCCACGCTAACCACTTCCTACATGTTCAGATTTTTTATTATTATTTTGTTTTACCTTCTGGACATTTGGGTAAGGAGCAGTGGTCCCACACGATCTCAGTGCCTTTGTAGACGTAACACCAAGGAGAGTTGTCCTGGTCCGGGTTTCTGAGGAGCAAAATGAGACAGTTTGTAGCTAAAAAAAAAACAAACAAACCATATATATTCAACAAATAAACACGTTTTCTGCATGCATTTTAAATAAAAACGACTTTAATAAGTTTCTTTATCAGAAAAGCATTACAGTTTAATGGTGAGCTCTTTGGATTAAAAAAACTGTTGGTAAAACATGACAAAAGTGATATCATGGTTTGGGGTGCTTTTATTGTCGGCCCTCTTTATTGGATCAATAAATAGTTATTTACATCCTATAAATAGCTGGTTAATTTTTTTCATCATAATCTTTCAGAAAACAATTTGGGGTCATTAATCTTTTCACCTTTTGTCTTTATGATCAGTTGTGCACACATCTTGCTTGCCTTTTTTTTTTATCTCAGTTTACTTTGATTAAAACACATATCAAACTTAAGGCCTGTGGGCCAAATCTGGCCCTTGTTAGCATTTCATCTGGCCCCAAAAGTAACACATTAAATGTATAAGAGTTTTAAGGTTTCATATGTTCTTCTCATGACAGATGACCAACTTTCAAGCCAAGAAAATTAAGTAATCAAAAAAGTCAGTAATCGTTGATTTTGGTTTGGAAAGAGCAACAGAGAATATAATTTAATTACATTTTCTTGTATTATTATTATTATTTAATTCAAGTCAAATAATTAGAACATTTGTTGAGGTTTTGTTTTTTTTAACTWGATTTGCTGGATTGTGATAAAATGTGTCTCTAAGATACATAAATGAAAGCGTAAGAAACAAATGTTAACGATGAGTCTTTCTAAATGTAATAGTTTTTCTTTATTCATTACCTTAAATATGTTCTAAATCCTACATAAAAATAATAAAACATAAAAAGTCATTTGCATTTTTATTAAAAATTGTTATGTAACATTTTTTCAGTAAATATTGACAGAAATTAGCCCTTGGATTGGAGCAAGTTTTGAAGTTTGAACTCCTTGTGTAACTGAGTTTGACTGAATTGTGCTTTTCAACAAAAAGCATTGCAAACTGACTATTGGCAAATCTTTAATGGGTGGTCTTTGAGGGGAAACAAATCTAATCAGAATCTCATCATCATTAAATCAAAAGTCACTGCCTTTACCTTAAAAGTCTAAAATAAAACAAGCCATCAGATCTGTGGCTCTGAACATTTTATTTTCCACATACGTTCTGCCTGGTTCGTTCACCTGCAGAAGTTGTGATTGCCCAGCCCAAGGCTGCTGGCGTCTGTTTTCCGAGCCGTGAACCTCCTTCCTCTCAGAGACGTGGAGTTCCAGTTGATGCAATCAGCTCCTGATTGGCTGACGCTCCGTGTGCCGCGATAACCTTCGCCCTGCCCCACGATGCACTTCTCATTCATGTCTGTTGACGTCAGAGAGACAAACTGGATTTAATCATATATACATATGATATAGATGTTTAACTCTAGGACAGTGAAGAGTGGAAAATCTTCTAAAAACACGTCAAACAAATCATGGAAAGACTTTAATACAAGTCACAAAATCACAGCTTGTGTTTTAATTGCATTTATATCATAGTTTTCCTATTAGTGGTTTAAAAACAGAGGCCAAAACTTAAAATATGACCATATTAACTGCTGCATCTACAATCACTTGGCTGTGACGGCTGAGTTTTGGATAATTATCCCAGGGTGGGGTGTCCCGAAAACCACAGAAACAGAAACATTCGTATCCCAGAATGTCTTTCCGTGGTTTATGATTCTTTTTATTTTTTTCCTCTCAGACCACAAGTCATGACAGCAGCTGTGGAGTCACAAAGTCAGGCCTTATCGGGTGTCACAAGCTGCCATTCTGTCTCATAGTGGCTTCTTTACTGGACGTTTGTCACTTTGAACCTCACAAAAGGAGAGTTTTAGAGGTTTTATTCAACAATCAAAACCTGCTGAGTACTTACTGATCTCACAGTGAGCTCCGCTGAAGCCGGGGGGACACTGRCAGACGTATTCTGACGAGTACAGGGCCTCCTTGCAGGTTCCTCCGTTGTAGCACTGAGACACGTAGCAGTCTGGGAACGGCAGACAGATTTGTTAGTCAGGCAGACGTCATCAGCAACCGGCTCGAGCGACAAAAACACAACTTATTGGTCACGACCCGTTAGAGAGAATCAAAACTGTGGGTTTGAGTCGTACGCAAGCATCTGCGTGAACATGGTTTGTTCTGGCTCCATTCTACAAGCAAACGTCTCCCCACTGTGGGTTTTTTTTTCTTTCTTGAGCAAAAAACGGTGTTTCCACATTTATTTGCCTTATACAAAGGAATAATAACAGCTTCYGCCCTCATCCTCATTTCCACAGGTCCAGAGCAGTTTTGAGAGACTGTAAAATATGGCTGCAATTTGTCTGAGGGTGAGTTAATCACGCTTCACAGATTCCATCAATGAAAGTGCACACAGAGGCTGGTTTGGCAGGAGGTATTTCAAATAATCTCAGACTAAACTACACCCTCCGAGGAACCCGGCCGCTCTTCGTTCGGATGCGCTGAAATAACAGGGGCCCAAGCACACGGCCGAGGCAACGCCGCAAACAAAATAAGCACCTGAGGTTTTAGYAGCAAGGTAGAGGTAAAAAGAGCTTGGAATAAAAAGGGTCAACGAGGGCGGACACAGAAAATGATCGGCCAAGCATTCTGAGCTCATTCTAAAGAAAAAAAGTTATGTTTCATCTTTCAAAGTAGACGAATCCTGCTTTTAAATCCTTCCTTTTCACATTAAAATCATTCAGCCGGGATCTTTATAAAGTGGAACTACAACACTTTGGTTTGAATTCCTCCTTATTTCAACTTTACCAGCCACTCTTTCACCACTTTTCTGGAGTGTCTCAAACCAGCTGCATTTGTTACTGTTCCTTTTAAACATTTCAAGCCCCGCCTCCCTCCTGCTTCTAGACCGGTCCACTCCGGTGTGAGAGAGGGGTTTATGTTTTCTAGCGATGCAGAAACATTTCATTTGCAGTTGAACTGAAAGACGTCAACAACAGAAGACTCCGTCCAGCCTTACATGTTGGAGCCAGAGTCTGACCCAGAACCACAGGAGAATGAAGACGAGGAAATAGTAATCGGTAAGTCCAGACCTTATTTGGGAATTTCGCTGCAGAATATTTGACGTAAGAGTTCGGAAAACATCACAGAAAATACAGAAAACTAAACAGGCTGAAAAATATGACCTAAACAGAATATCAAGACATCTTTGCAGCACCAGGAGAGACTAAATTCAACTTTTCTGCCTCCAAGTCCACAACAAAATGTATTTAACAGCTTTAAAAAAATATTTTGCGAGATATGTTCCCTTTAACACTCACTGATGACGGGCACGATGTGACAAAGCTCCTTTCCTCTCGAAGCACAATGACAATATTCCACACGCTGTCCCTTCCATCGCAGCCATGTTTCACCAAAACTACGCACCGCCGACGTCTCACTGTCCACACACAGCACTGACAGAACACACATACACAGAATCAAACAGATTACAGTCAGATTATAGGAACGAGGCAAACTAAAAGGAGTCTAAACGCATGATTTAGAATTAACAGATGATGATGATGATGGTGTCATTAACAGGCAAAAAGAGAAGCAGGATGAGGCTCACAGGATGCGTCAAATGAAGGTGAAGACTTCTTCACATGAATAATCAAAAGCGTCCGTCTAGCTGGCTGCCTGTCGGGCTCACCTCTGTAAAAACGAGTCCCTCGCTTGGAGCGGAGCAGTTCCACCTGCAGCACACAGGAACAGTCAAAAACAGGCGCGCAACAAAGAAAATGCATGTTGGATGAGGGAAAAGTGTTGACCTACAGCTGATTTTCAATCACAAGTTAAACATTTGAGCAAAACAAATGATTTCTCTGAAAATTGCGACTTTAATCTCAGAATTACTCTGAATTCAAAGAAAAATATCAAAATTTTGAGATTAGTCAGAATTCTGACGTTTTTAATCCCAATTCTGAGACCCAAATATTTAAATGTATGTTTTGGTTTTCATTCTCAAAAAGTTAGTTTTGAATGAAAAGCCATGGGAGCTAATTAAAATAAAAGCTTTGCCTAAACATTACTTCGGCAATAAAACTGTTTATAATGTCTGTTTCATCAGATTATTGAAAACTCTCTGATTTAAACACATTCAACACCTAAAGAACCTGAAGCTGAACAAGGAAAAGCCTTTAAATGAGCAGAACTTGTTACAAAAATTCCTGAAATACTTACGTTGTCCGCTAGAYAGCAGCAGAGAGCAGAAAGGAGGACTAATAGTTGATGTGAACGTGTCATGGCTCTTCAAATGTTCTTCAGTTTTCTGCAAACACAAACAGAAACACATAACTCAAGATTAACATTTTCATATTTAGAAACGGCTGTAATATTCCAGTAAAGTTCAGTGGATTCTGGCTTCAGTTATCAGCAAATTAAATGAAAATCCTGGTGTGGCACTAAACCAAAACCCGTAAAGTAATATCAGAAGATTTCTAGTTATTTGATAAATACAGCTGATATAAATAGGTCTACTTTGTTTTAATTATTTATTAGTTGATGTTACTTTTTAATAAAAGAACCATCACTTAATTTATTGAAGCTTGTCCTCTTCTAAATTTATATTTATAAAAAAGAAAATGCGCACATGTAATTTAATGTGGAGGACATTAGTTTTAAATCTGGTGTCTTTATAGGTTTTACATATTTTTTAAATATTTTTTAACTAATTCCTCAAAAACAATATTTGTTTTTTTGTTTTGGGGGGTTTTACCAATCCTAAACAGCTAAGGGAAATTAAAAAGCAAAAGAAGATAAAACTTTCTGGCCAAAGTTGGGGGCCATTGGGTGGGGGCCACCGAGTTTTTCAGGGGTGGTTGTTGCCGACCTTGGCCCCTCCTTAGTGATGTCCCTGATTGCTGCTTCATCACCTGAAGCATCATTTCTGTTACATAAAGTTTAGTCACGCTGGGCTGACTAAATTTGAACAGTCTCACGTTTCACTTTGTTGTAAATCTAAACCATAAAGACAATCCCAGGAACCCGATCAACATCGGTCACCTTCTCCCAGCTTCCTTCCTCCATCAGCAGTCTGTCACAGAACGACTCCACCTGAGAGGAAACGCTGCTGGAAGCTGAAGTCCACTTTCTTCAGGTCGAGCTCGCTCTTTGAGTCAGACAGGAAGTTGTAACAACCTGTGTGAGTCTGAACGTTTTGTGCGAGTGAATTTCCTTCATTTGTTTACATTCCTCCTGCAGGGGCCCCTCTTTTGTATTTGCAACAGATACCATACTGTGTAAATGTATTTCCCAGTGGGAAATAATCAGGAAATGTTGTTTTTTTTTTCCTTAACAGCTTCAAACATTAAATAGAGAGCAAAGAACAAACAACACAATCTGGTAAAGAAACTTGATGTAAGTCTTTTTCCTCTAAAAGCTTCTCGTCCTGCAGGAAGGAGGAAGATGAAGAGAATCTGCTGCCTCTCAATGACAGTGTTGTATAAAGTACCACAAAGTGATACTTGAATAAAAGTACAAGTATCTTACCAAAAAAATACCTTGGTTAAAATTAATATCTCCTTTAGGAATATTACTTGAGTGAAAGTATTAAAGTATCTGATATTTTTGTACTTAAGTATTAAAAGTTAAAGTACTGATT